AAAAAGAATATAGGAAGTATGCAAAGCTACACAGAGAGTGAATCATAAATTTCTGAATCCTCTTTTTTGTTTTAGGTTTGGGGACAATTGGGGTTTGGCCTAAAGCAGTCTTAATCTCTTGGCTGATGTCTTTACTTGAGGGTGACACTGAGGAAATGGGCTTGTCCAAAAAGCTGAAGTGAGGTTGCCAGTCCTTGTCACACCCAGACAATCCATTAACTCAACATCAAGCCAAATCTTTGCTGAATCTGATTGTTCAAAATTCAGAAAGCCTATGCTTGTAAACATGTTCTTAGAGAAGAGAGCATGACTTTTTGTTGCAAGTGCTTTTAAAGTAGTGTGTCAGAAGAATCAAAGGGTGGTAGTACTTTAAGAACTAAATGCTCTGGATCAAGTAGGACTGAACATTCTTTGCATAAATGACACTTACAGCTTGTCCTTCTTATTAGGAATTCTCACAGCTAAGAACATTTTGCTGGGAGAAATGTCACATCTGCTGCTACTCTTTGAGGCTACTTAAAAATAGAAGATTTTTGTTTCCTTGGGTAATTAATCCCAAAACATAATCTGGCATGATAGACTATGTTTGCATGTGTCTGTGTAGCACATGTATATGCTCATATGTCTATGTATACACATGGATGTGTATGTGTGTGTGTGTGTCTGTGTGTGTGTCTCTGTGTGTGTTTGTGTGCATCACAGGATGAGACTTCTCAGTATACTGACTAGTTTTTCAGTCATCTATTTTTGCAGGTGCAACCAAAGGATCTGAACAGAACGTTTTTAGAGAAGAAAAGGTATATTTGGCACACACAGCTTCAGAGGTCTCAGTTCATAGACAGGCAGCTCCATTGCTCTGGGTTCCAGCTGAGGCAAAACGCCTTGGCAGAAAAGCATGAGGAAAGTAGTTCAGGACATGGCACAAGGAAGTGGAGAAGGAGAGACAACCTTCACTATGGACAAAATATATACCCCAAAGACACACCCCCAGTGACCCACCATCTCCAGCCATACCCTACCTGCCTACAGTTTTCATTCAGTTAACCCTTATCAGAGGATTAATGCACTAATTAGATTAAGGCTAATAATCCAGTCCTCTTACATCTAAGCTTTTTTGCATTGTCTCACATATGAGCTTTTGGGGGACATATTATCTCAACCATAACATTCTGCCCCAGCTTCCCAAATCTCAGGTTCATCCCACAATGCAAAACAAACAAACAACAAAAACAACAACAACAAAAACCAGTCCAGTTTCAAGAGTACACATAGTCTCAACAGTTACAAAATTTCCCAAAATCACAAGTCCAAAATATTCTCTGAGACTAAAAGCCCTATAAAAGCCCCTATAAAAATCAAAAGCAGGTTACATATATCCAATATATAAAGGCACAGAATAAATATTTCCATTCCAAAATGAAGAAGTACGGACATAGAAAGCAGGGATGAAACCAAGGCAAGATCTAAATCCAACTGGTCAAACAAGTTTTATAGTGTCATATCCAGCATTTGGGGCACATTGCATCTTGATGTTCTTTCTAAGTGGCTTACGTCACTCTGCCCTATGGCTTTTCTGGTTGCGACCTACCTGGTCTCTCTGTTGGCTTGTTTTTGCTCAAGTCTTGTATATTTCCTTAGCAGACATTCTATGGCACTGTTATTCCTTAACCTTGGAGGTCTACATGCAGCTTCTTCCTTCTCACATCTCCATGCATTGCCCTTTCAGAGACTGCCTGAAGGCACTCCAAAGATATTATGTTTTGACTGGCCTCCAAGGCCTTCCTTTGAAATCTTAGGAAGCCTCTGTGACTCTCTTACTCAAGAATTCTTTATTACTGCAGAACCAGCACCACAAGGTTTGTCACCATCTTAAGCAATAGCCAAGACTCCAGGGCTCATGGCTGCAGCAGCCTCTGAGTACCTGGGTGGCTGAGCATGGTAAACTGTGTACGCATGTTGTTCTCCTGTTCTCTTCTCAAAAGAAGTTTTACTTTTCTACCCTTGAGCCTGAGATGGGTGTGGTCTTGCCAATTCCTAAGATGCCCTCAAGACATCTTTTCTATTATCTCTGGGTAAAGTATTTAGCATTTCTTTAGTGACTATAAGGTCTTTTTTTTTAAGAGAGAGAGAGAGGAGAGAATTTTTTTCAATATTTATTTTTCATTTTTTTGCGGAGGACACCACATTGTTGTTTGTATGTGGTGCTGAGGATCGAACCCGGCTGCATGCATGCCAGGCGATCGTGCTACCACTTGAGCCATATCCCCAGCCCACTATAAGGTCTTTAACCACAACTTCCTTACCCCAGTTTTACACTTTCCTGAGCATGCTGCAAGTTTTTAAAATCTTTCTGTTTTGCTTTCTGCTGCTGATTATCACAATGAACTTGGCTAAAAGGTGCCAGCAATATCCATCTTCTACCTGAATGTTATGCTGCCTAGGAATTTTCTTCATCAGTTTAAGAAGTACATCTCCTTTAAATTCAGCCTCATAGAAAGTCTCAGGACATGGAAAATATAGACAACTTCTTAGCTGGTCCCTAACATGAAGGCTTTTTAGTCCAATTTCCAATAGTGTTCTCCTCCTTCTCTGAAATCTCATGAGCCCAGTCATTACTGTTCATAGCCCTATGAACATTCTGTCTTCTGACCTCCCACCAGATTCACTCAATAAGCTCTACTTACAACAAGCTATAAATTTTCCAGATTTCATCTCTACACTTTAAAAAATCCCAAATTCCAAAAAGATCAAAAAGCTTCTGAACCACATGGTCAATTAGTCACAGGAATGACCTCATTCTCAGTATCAATTTCTTACAGTTTCAGACCCAGCCCAAAGACAGTTCCATTGCTCTGGGCTCCAGGTGAGGCAGAACACCATGGCAGAAGAGCATTTTGGAGTAAAGCAGCTCAGAACATAACACCAGGAAGTAGAGAAGGGAAGATGCTTCCCATATCATGGACAAAATATATACCCTCAAGGCACACCCCTGCCCTTCCTGCCTACAATTACCATGTAGTTTATCCCTATTAGAGGATTAATGCACCAATAATATTCTCATAACCCAATCCTTTTACATCTAAGCTTTCTTATATTATCTCACACATGAGCTTTTTGGGTACACCTCATCTAAACCACAACAACTGGAAATGCTAAAATGTGTAAACCTAATTTTAAAAATCTCAATGGTGAAATAATCTCCAAATTATACAATTTAAGTACAAATATTTTATATTTTAAAAATTTGTCAGAGTGGAACCAGTAAAACCTTAGAAAGAACCAACAGAATCTCTTGCAAGATAGTGCTTCCCACTTGCATGGCTTCTGTACCAGCCATTATCTAAAGGAGTTTATATTTAAATTAAGCAGAAGTAAGAATTTAATATTTTTCCTTACTTGCAACCTAACAAGTTAGCCTGCTGCAGTCTCACTGATACTGTGTCTTAGTCAGTTCAGGATACTGTAACAAAAATACTATGGACCAAATAACTAAAAACAGCAGAAGTTTATTTTTCACAGCTCTAGAAGTTGGAAGTCTAAGATCAAGGTGCCAGCTGGTTTGGTTCCTAGTGGGGAGTCTCTTCCTGATTTATAGATGGATACCTTACATCCTTTTACGTCTAAACTTTCTTGCATTGTCTCGCACATGAGCTTTCGGGCTCTATCCTGAGTGAATTAATGTTGATTATAAAAAGCATTAGGCTTATGAGGTCCATTTCTTTTTCTCACCTTCTCTTTGCCTTTCTGCCATGAACTCATCTTAAAAATTATCTCCCCAAAACTCCACCATCAGATATCAAATTGAGGATGAGGGCTTCAACATGTGCAATTTGAGAGAACATAAACATTCAGTTTAGAGTGTTGGTAAAAGAAGTCTCCTGGGTTAGAGACAAATCTCAGCTTATTACTCATTTTATTATTTCACCTATCACAGGCAATACCTGTAATCAGGTAATCAAAATTTTTGTACCATTCCCTGAGCCCAAATTCCCACAAGGTGATGTGAAGGGGGCCATATGACATAACACACAGTGGATTTAGTAACACACATGTCTCTTGAAATCCTGAACTCAGGGAAAGGAACATTTTATAATAGTCAGTAAACAAAGCTACCTTCTACTTTGAAGAAAACACTATCTCTATCTTCCGAGGCTATGCAAACGTTCTTGAAAATGTAGTCTGGAACAAAGAGCAATCAGTGCCTTTGATTTTAAGACATGCAGAAATGCAAGTTACTTATGGCAAATTATCTCTCAAAAGTTTATTTTCCATTTTTTAGTCTCTATTTTTTTTATTCCCTGTCCAATATTCCTGCCATCCTATCACCTTGCACTTATGACCAAAATTACACAGAGAAAAATGTCCAATGTATTATTTCTATGGTCAGTGTTACTTAATGGTCAGTTTGGATCAGCTTTAAAGCTGACTGATCATTAGTGCAGAAACTGGTTATTAAGGCTGTCAAAAATAACAGTCATGTGAAAACAACCTACAGAAAAAAATTTTCCCTTAGAACCATGGTTTGAGGGTCAATGAGTAAAGGTTGACTCAGGTGAAGCTGGCCTAGATGGTCAGGATCTGGAGACCTTAGGATTAAGTTCCAGAACAATGGACTGAGTTCGGAGTAGCAGCTGAGCAGCCATAAGAGCAGCAACTGAAACTATAATCTAAGGAGCTACATTAGAGAAAAAGCCCCTAAAAGACTGGCTTTTGGATTATTTTCTGCTTAGCCTGGCACCTAGATTCATTTTACACCCTTTTGGCCTCTGAGTGGTCTGCTCCTAGGAATGCCATTGCATTCTCAATGGCACCAAGGGGATTGAAAGATTGAGGGGACAGAAAGACAGGAAATTTCTTTTCCATATTTTGCTTGGGCAATGTTTCTAATAGCAACTCTCTACTGCTAAAAGAGCAGCTCCAGCTCCTGCCAGCAAGCCTCTCCTGCCAGTTAGTCCCTCCTCCATGGCTCCAGGTCTCATTGAATTTGTTATTCAAGACTAGAGTGATGATTGCAGGCACTGTTGGTGTTCAGTGCCTCAAC